GGACTGTACCCTCATGAGTGTACTGATCCATTCTTGGAATAATAAGAGTGGTTCTGGTGGCTTGAAAAGGGGAGTGAATAAGGAGGTTACTTGTTCTCTCTGCTCGGCCATTCTACCATGTGAGTCCCCTGTGTCACTGTTGCCACCAGCAAAGCCTGCACCTGATGTGTTCCCTGGGTTTGGACTTCCTGGCCTGAGAATCTGTAAGAAATACCTTTCATTTCCTTGTAAATTACCCAGTCCTAAATATTTTGTTATAAGCAGTAGAAATGAAATAATATTAATACAAATACATGACTAAAAACAATCGTCTCCCACAAGGTCTGTAGCAACAGTCCCTGTTTTTATTCCAGATGTTTGTAATTTGTACCTTCTTTCTTTTTTTGTTTGTCAGCCTTCCTGGAAGTGTCTCATTTTATTAATGTTTTCTAAAACCCAGCCCTTTGTTTCATTATCTTTCTGTTTCAATTTCATTGATTTCTGTTCTTGTTTTTATTCTTTGCATATGCTAGGTTCTTGATGTTTGAGCTTAGATGATTGATTTTAGATGTTTCTTCTTTTCTAATGTATGCATTTATTCTATAACTGTTCCTCTCAGTACCGATTTAGCTGTGTCACTCAAATTTTAATACGTTGTGTATTTTCATTTGAATTTAGTTCAGTGTGTTTTTAAATCTGCCTTGAAACTACCTTTTTGATCCATGAATTGTTTAGAAGTGTGTTCTTTAGTGTCTAAGCATGTGGAGAAAGATTTCCCATTGTTTTTCTGGTATTGATTTCTAGTTCAATTCATTGTGGTCAGAAAACACACTCCACATGATTTAAATTTTTTACCTTTGTTGAGGTTCACTTTATGATCCAGGATATACTCTATCTTGGTTTATGTTTTGTGGGTACTTGAAAAGAACATGTGCAGTGCTGTTTTTGCATAAAGCATTTTAGAAATGTCAATTAGAATATTTTAGTCGATGATGTGGTTGAGTAGTGCCTGGTGGATTTTTGGCTAGTTGTTTTATCAGTTGTTGAGAGACGGGGTGATGAAGTCTGCAGCAGTAAGTGTGGACTTGTCTATTTCTTCTTTTAGTTCTATGACTTTTGCTTCACTTTTTATGCAGCTCTGTTGTTTGGTGCATACACATCAACTTTCCTCTATTGTTATATTTGAAGTAAGCTTCTCATAGACAGCGTACAGTTGTATCATCAGTTACAATCCATTCTGCTAGTCGCTGTCTTCTAATTGGTATATTTAGACCATTTACATTTGATATAATTAATAATATGCTAGTATTATTTTTCTGGTATTATTTTTCTAGGGCTTTGGTAACATCGTATCACAAATGGGTGGCTTAAAGCATAGAAATTTCTTCTCTCACACTTCTGGCAGCCAGAAGTCTGAGATCAAGTGAGATTTGGAAGGTAAAAAGTCCAATGAAATGTATGTTAATGAGAAAGTTATTATCATGGGCAACTGGAACTCAGTTGTCTTGAGGAACTTCTGACAAATGGGGGAAACTGTATTGGATTTTCCTACCATGAAGGAAGAGCCCAGGCCATTATCCAATCAATAGCTATCCGTATTGACTGGGTAGGTTGATTCTCCTGCACATCTGGCTTTCACCAGTGCATGGCAGGAGAAACACATATAAGAGGATGCAGGCACTTGAGGTAGGAAGCAGCAAAACTGTCGCTATGCCAGGAACTCTCTATGACAGCTGCAGGTGGGCTGACAGGGTTGGTGATCAACAGCTTCAACCACAGTCCACCCCTTGCACTGCACTGCCCTGCTCATGCTCCAAATTGAGTCCATTCAAAAGGGTGGCCAGCACAGACTCTAAAATAATTAAAATAGATGGTTAGTAACACAAGCTACAGTCCCCACTGTCCAGTTGGAATTGCAGCCTTCACTGTTATGCATCTTAATCCAGCTACCTCACGCCTTCTAAATGCACCGCAATCCCAGCCAGCCTGCCTTCTATCTGCGTATTTGTTTGGTGGGTCCTTCAAAACCGTCTACACTGAAATGTTGAGTAGAGCCAGGTACTCTCCCCTGCAGTGAGGCACCTAGGAATTAGCAGCACTGAAAAGCTGTGACCACCTTGATATTCAAGGGCAAGGGTAGTGAGCAATGTCACCAGAAGTGGTGAGAGCTCATGCTGTGGAGTGGGGACAGCCCAACAGGGACCACCATCAGA